ATGGCAATCAATTGCTGGATGAATTGAGTGATGAATACAATTACAGTTAATTTAATCACAATTTAAATCTCAAAATACATTCACATTTCATATGACTTTTACATTGAATTATAACTCAATGCATGTGTCACTAGATGTCACTCTACTATAGATTCTATGCTATTAATAGTCTATATTATAATTAAAACTTTTTAATTTTATTTTACAATCTAATGATTTAATCTGACCAGTGAACTCAAATTTAAATATTTTGTTGAAACCCATTTAATTATAATTGAGTTATAGTACCAGGGCATAGTATTAGCTAATCATTTAGCTTATAATGTAACTACATTATATTACAAAGTTTTCTAACTTTATTTATCACGGTAATAAGTTTCTGATTTAAATTTAAATTTAATTAACTAACAAAAATTCGTTAATAATATATTTGGACAGTTAAATCATATGAAATTGAATTAATATTTTCAAACTACTGTATTGTTAAGTCAAATATTAATACAAAAATTATAAATATCATCAAAAATGAATCACAAATATTAAAGTAAAAAGTGTTGATTCTAACCGAGAGGACAGTTATACATATAGCGGACAGACATGTCAGATGAGGCGTTCAAGGAATTGAATGACTTGTTGACAGAGATTAACAGACGATTACAATCTGTGTCTAAATTGGAGGACAAATTAGAAATCACACGAAGACGTTGCACACATCAATTTACCGGCGCTGGAGTGCTGTATGCTTTCAATCGGCTCAATGTGAGGATATCAGTGGTTAAGCGCCTATACATCAACGACACAAGGCTGACGATAAGGCTGGAACCGGCATTGGTGGCAGGGTTCCCGGGTTTCAGACTTCTCGAGCACCACCACCTGCTCATCACTAATGGTGAGGAAGAGAAGCCGGTGTGGAGTGAGTGGAACGGACAGCCATTGGTACCCCTGACCAACCATTTGGGAAATGTATTGCAATTCATATTTGATGGCTATCTATGGATCTCAGGCGAGATAGAGTTGACCCGCGCTTTGAATGAGTTGGAGGACATCGAAAGACCATTGGCTGGGGTTCAGGAGCTGATAAGGGCTCAGGGTGTGGACGAGTATGTGTTGTTGGATCCGTGGACAAGAAGTCAGTATGGTCATTTGGATCCCATAAGTATGGCTCGGACTCAACAGTGGCCTCTACTCCGATCACTGGTCACCTCCAAAATGAAACAACTGGTCACTCGAGTCAATGGAATCGTGAGACATATGGACGCTCTGAAGACAATACTACGACATGTGGCTCAAGTGCCCGCACAACCACCCCTTCCCATGCAACCACTCCAACGGTCGAGGGATCGATCTTCAAACTAATGGCCATAAAGTTACCAATGAATCCCATTCACTGCCAGTCCTTTGTATTCAATTCAATAAATTCACTCTAAAGTAGTCTATAGTCTAGTTATGTTTTGTTTCATTAGTTTAAAGTCATACCCAGTATTATGTTTATCTTAATATAATTAATAATTATTAATCATAATTTCATTTAAAATTTATAAACAATTATCTTAAATTTGCAAATCTTTCAACTCATCTAATCCAGTGTCGAAGTCTATGTCTGGAATTATACTCTATACTAGGATAGGAAGTTGGGAACCCTTGTCATCCCGACCCTTAAGGGTTTCGGACGGGAAAGGGTTTCCCGTTATAGAAATCAAAACCCTTAAAAAGCCCAAACCCTTAGAAACCCCTTATAATTTTCTCACAGTATTTATATTTTCCCTTAACTCGACCCCCAAAATGTCGATAAATTGTTGTTTATTAAATCTAATTATGATTTTTGTAAACTTTAATGCATTATATGAATGTACGTTTAATGTTAAATTTCAATAGATGTTCATTTGATGTTAAACTTGCCCCAATTTTGTAGTTTTATATTTTAAGGGTTTTTCGGGTTCCCACGGGTTTCCCGGCATAGAGGCCGGGTCGGGCTTCCCGATTAAAGAACACTAAGGGTTTGGGCCGGGTTTCAAAAAATGGTCTAACTTTGGCTCTACATAACTGGTGTTTGAATTATGAGAATTATGTTAAAATTGAGAAGTTATGAAACTTTTTTATTATCAAAAATTCAATTATCATTTTATTTGTGAATTACAATTGTCTTAAATTTCAACAAAGTTTCAAATCATTTGTTGTCTTAAATGTCTAAATCTTCGAACTCATCGATAATGTTGTCGAAGTCTATGTCCTGGAAGTGGACTTTATATCTCAGAATACCTCCCACTCCTCCAAACCCTTTGACAAACTGTGAGCCCTCTTGAGAGCTGTCGCTCACAAACTCGAGAATTGCACCGAAATTCGTGTAATTGTTTGCAAACCATTCAAGTAATGACATCGACTCCAACACTTCCAACACTTCCAACTCCACTCCTGTCCCGGTGTCCACAAACAGATTTCCATTCCTTTCCTGGTTTGCCATCTCGTGAACTATCTTCTCCTCATTGGTGTTCGGGTTCTTCAGCACATATCTCGTGATATCGAGGTTTTCCCATACGATTAGTACCTCAACGGCTCCCATCTCTAGGGCTTTTATGGTGTCCTCCACTCCGAAGCAGTATTTGCCGGTGTCTTGAGATATCTCATCCAAGTAACGATTAATTAGTCTTTTTTCGTCCACAAACCGAATGCCAGACAAGACTTCTGCCGATAATTTTATGGCTTCATTGAAACCATTCTCTCCGCCGTAAGACACGTCCACTAGTCTCACAACCAGTGCCTGAAGTTTCTGTTAAACATATTGTTATTAATTATGTGACACAAGTATGTCATCCATTAATGTTATACCCGGTCGAAGAGATCCGAGCGATAGAGTTGTGTCTTAAAGTCAGCACTTCCTGCGAGAATAAGTCATGAGATGTTGGGTCTGTTGGCTGTGATGAACACCTGTTGTGCCACTTCTGCCACTTTTCGCACATAATTGTGTCTCTTCTCGTCCCTGAGTCGAGCGAATCGTAGGGCTGACTGACCTCCACGTCCTGTCAATACATATGAGACATACAGTCACTAATTTGTGACCAAATATGATAATTCAATACATACCGTGTTTTTTAGGTAAACCGACGCTAAACTTCTGGAGCACTTGACGTGTATTGCCCTCTAAAGTGCCGAAAAGAGCTCCATTTCCATCCATTACAATGAATCCAAACTTATTGTCGTCCACAAGAAGTTCCTTAAGAACCTCAATATGGAACCGATTGTCACACATATATAGCGATCTGTGAATGGGCTTAAAGGGCTCCAAATCGATGTTCACTTTCTTATCCTTTCCCTCTTCGGTCACAAGAGTCCCACAATAGATGACGAGTCCATTGGCGGGCATTCGGGGGTACAGTTTGAGCCGTTGCTGAACCGATGCGATGGCCGACTGAACCGATTGGCGATTCACACGACTCTTGATGTTAGCGGCCGTTCCCATCTCGTCGACCAACATCTTAGACGCGCGACATATCTGTCCATTCGCTGGTAATATCAGTGATATCATCGAAGTTCCGTTACTTTAAGACATGGAAACATGTCAAACAAATAAGTGTAAGTTAATTGAGACTTATAGCCCCGGTATGTATGCTTACCCTCGGGCCGACTCAAGACTTTTGATAAGTTTCTTAAGTTTCCAAATAGCTATGCCATTCAAGAATCAGAATTTATGTGTCATTCCTATGAATTCAATTCTGTGCCAACGCTTGCCTCTCATTATATAAACAATTTTATTGTAATTCTCTTTCGTATGAATTAAAATTGATTTTTAAAAAATAAATGAACACTTTCTATATTTTTCAAAATACTTATTTTTAATAACAAGCTTATGGTGTAAAATATATTTTGACAAAATTTTAACTCTACATTTAAAATGTTTGACAACTATATATGATTTAGATAAAATGGATTTTAATGGCTGACTATGAATATCATGATCACATTATCAATTTAGCATTTGTTCAAAAATATAGGTTTTAATACAGTAATAAATACTACAAATAATTTTTTAATTTATGATAGTAAATATTTCCCTTCCCTTATAAGTGATATTTTTAAATTAATTGTTTTTTGCTTTCAAATCATGAATTTTTATTACATTTATTTTTAATTTAAATTTTATTAAAAGTTTCGAGATTTGTCTACAGAATATAAAAATTACGAAATTTTGTCACTACTAATAAATTGAATGAAAAGCATATTACCTGTACTCGTATTGCAGTTATAGAGAGTAATGTGAAATATTGATAGAGAGCTGTGCTATGATAATGTTAACGCTTTCATAACGTTTAGTGCCATAGCGTAAGAATTTTTGAACGTATCATGCAATTCATACATAATATTCAATTTTAGTTCACATTTAGTTTTCATTCAAAACATTTGGCTTTTCTATAATAGTTGCTATTATTTTGTTAGTTTCACATCCAGCTCATTTATCATTTTGACAACTAACTGTCCAAATATCTATTTGATGAGTTATAAACTATGGCAACCGCTAATATTCCTCAAGAATCCAATAGCCAACAAAGCATCAAAATTTGGAAACTTAAGAAACTTATCAAAAGTCTTGAGTCGGCCCGAGGGTAAGCATACATACCGGGGCTATAAGTCTCAATTAACTTACACTTATTTGTTTGACATGTTTCCATGTCTTAAAGTAACG